AACAAAAAATCCTCTATTCAGTTAATGTTATACATTTATAAAATAGTTGCGATAATCATTATTATATTTTTAAAAATTGTACATTATTGACAAAAAGCACGAAAGTTGCACTAAAGTCCCAGCCATAATAATCATATACAACTATGCTTAAAATATTTTTATAATAATATAAATTAATAATTAAGTTAATTAATGTTTGCATTATTATAAATAAAAGTTGATTTTGTATTTAATATTGTTTTGCAAGTATTCTGTCATAGATGTACAATATTTTAAACATTAAGTTAAATATGATTAAACAGGATTGACTTTATCGTGGTAATTAAGTTTTAAATTATAAATTAATAAAATCCTTCAATTAAAAATATATAAATATTTTTAAAATGTAATAATAATATATAATATAACTTATAGCTTTATTGTTATACATAAATCAATAATGAAATATTGATATACAATATATTATAAACTGTAAGACAGTATTGCAATAGTGAACTATTGTAGGTGAAATGTAATCTTAACTAATGATGTTTGAATCAAAAGAATTTGCTAAATTTTATCATAATAACAAATGATTAATACACATATTAATTTTATCTAGACTAGTTATATATCTAAAATGAATCATTATTACAAAAATTATTTGTTATGTTATTACATTATTAAAACGAAATAAAGAAATATTTTTATGCTATTTTTAAGTGCCTTTTCTTATATTACATAATGAATTAATAATAGAATAAATTAAGTAACAAATTAATTGACACATTATTATTTGTATTAGTCATACAATACTGCAATATTTTTAATCGAGTTTAGATGTGAAACTGATTATAAAGTAATAAAGCTAGTTTAGTTATGATTACTAATTCAATTTCAACACGGTGCTTGCAATAAGAATAATTGTTGAGATAATAATCTAAATGGTATATAAATGGACGTTTGTACAATGCTCAACTCATAAACAATTCAAACTTGTAACAATTATTATTGTTCCAATTGTTATATCAACATTTTATAACTAACTAATTTGAAAATGCTAAATAATTGTTTCTTGATTACTTTATTGGCCGTATGTGCCTATACTGTAAGCGCTGTTAATATTACCTCGGGTACATTGGTCAACGCTCATCCTGGTAATATTGGTGACAGGTTAACTGATTGCCTTACTAAAATCAACACGGCCAATGTTTGTAAAGGCGATTATGTGACTCAAAAAGAGACCAAGTACTATTGTTGCAAAATGTGGGAAATGTACGATTGCGTTTTAAAAAACTACAAGGTAATATTTTTAATTTATATTATTAAACATGGTTAAATAAGATTTTAAAAAATAATGTATTAATTTTCAATTTAACTAATGAAAATTTTTATATTTATTTTTGTGTGTTTTGATCAGGATAAATGCGATTGGGTGGAGCAAATTCACCTTGATTTTCATCTAGAAGAGATTTCCACAACCTTTATATATGATACAAACAAACAGTTGTCAATTAGTCAGGAGCAATGCAATAAAATTGAATACAAACATGATCAGTGTTCAAGCGCTGATAAAATGGTCTCGACATTTAGCATAATTGCTCTATGTCTATACATTACATATTACTTATATAATTGAATTAATTATTTGTAATAGTAATATAAAATTTATTGTGATCATAGTTGTCAATTTAATACTTTTCATGTTTTTACTAGTATTTATTTAAACTATTATTTAACCTATGCATTGTTGTTATTGTATTTTTGCAACTTTTACTATTTATATGATTTAATATCAATACTTAAGAATTTATAATAAAATAATTAACCAGATAAGATAATGTTTAAACAATTAATATACAACGTTTATTTTATTAAATAAATTGTGTACAACTTAAAGTAAATACTTATAAATATAAAGGTCAAATAACATTTTTATGCAATGTAAGCATAGATGAATTTAGTAATTTGTTAGTTAATCTTATTATAGAAAAGTTAGTTCGTATTTTATTATATTTAATCGTGGTATTGATTATATAATTGATATAAGATATTTCATACTTAAATGAGTTAATTCATAAGTTTTTAAATATTTTAACAATAAAATTCATATAAACTATTAACATATGTTCAAAGTTTTTACCGCGAGTTGTTTTTACACATTTAATCACAATTTTTACGTTAAATTCCTTTACTGTCAGCTTAAGCTAATATTGATATTGAATTGATATGTACTATAGAAATTGTTTCACAATATGCTATTATTTTAATTATTATTATTTTCAATTGTTTAATTAAAATAATTATCTATTTATAACGGGAGTTAACGTACAGTTAAATAAAACTTAATAATGTTAAATATTTATTTTAAAAAACATTGAATAATTATTACTCAATATTCTGTAAAATTATATAATAATTATATTAGAAAATAAGGTCTATTTAGTGCTAATATAAAATACATGTTACAATTGTACAGGTTACAACCTGCAATAAAAAGACTTATATTAAATAAATGCCGGGTGTTATCAACTGTCGAGTACGTGATTTCTTATGCACACATTGATAACAAAACTACTTTCAATAATAAGTTTATTTTTATGAAATCAATTATTAATGCTGTATTATTAAATAAATTTTTATATATAATTATTTTATTATGGTCCATTAGTCATATTAGATGTATATGCAAAAATCTGATAATTTATATTTATTTTGTATTGGTATTAATAATGTAATAATTAAAATGTTTAAAATATGACTAATTAATTATTTCAGATAGACTAGTAAAAGTTACTAAACAAAAATTTTCTTATCTTAATTCTTATGTTACTATTAGACAATAAGTTGCATATTTTATCACAAATAGCAATCAATTCACTACAAAATATTGATGATTAAGTCAAATGTCATATAACGAACTAACAATATCAATCATGTTTGAATGTGATGCCAATGTCAACGTTGATAAGATTTAATATTTTACCTATATCACTTGTTCAAATAGTATTTATACATTAGCCAAACGCCCTGTTTAATTTAGTTTAGTACAGCGTAGCTAAAGGTGTGAAATAAAATTAGTAGAGTAATATTTTATTAAAGTGATCATTTGGATATTTTAATTAATTTTTTTTCACAGTATATATAAATTGATTAATCTATTCACAAATGGAAATCAGGTGTTATTTGGCTACTCTAGTAATAGCCGTGTTGACCATACAAGCCCAGGCCTTAAATGCAAATGGCACTTTTGTGTTTAATTCTGGCCTAGCTGCGAAGGGCCATGTGCAATTTGGTGAAAACCTTCAGTCTAGTCCAGCGGAATGTCAAGTGAAATTCAAAAATGTCAATTTGTGTCAGCCATCTAAAGAGAAACAGAAAGATACCAAGTTCTATTGTTGCGATATGTGGAAGTCCTATAATTGTGCCAAGGAACATTACAAGGTAGTGATCTATTACTTTTAAATATTACAAAATTACCAAGTTTAAAGTATAATAATTATATAACGTCTGGAGAACAAAAATGACAAAATTAAAACATTTTGTACTAGATTGTTTTTATTAGTGATTAACAAACTTATACACAATAGGATATACAAATAAAATTTTATTTATTATGCTACACAACTATGCTATCTATTTGTCTCTGGCAATTGGATAAAATTTTAAAAACCAAATCCTACCGCATAAATTATAGGCATTAATTGTACATGGTGCACTAAAAAATCGTTTGTGATTATAGTTATACTCATCTACATTATCATTGAAAATACTATATTAATTTATCATATTAGAACTTACATTAAATTAAACCTAACTTATTCTATATTGATATTATTTTACAGACAACTTGTGACTGGGTAGAAGTAGTGCTCTTAGACTTTCTATGGAACTCATTTGGTATAACGTATAAAATTGATGAAAGTATCAGTGATAATACACCTAGCAATGAATTTTACATCAGTGTTGCCAAGTGCGAGAAAATTGATATCAAAAACGACAGTTGCCCTAGTAGCGCATATAAATTGGCCAATACTACCATCATGATGTCCCTGTGCCTTTTGTTTGCATTTTATTTTCATAAATAAATATTTTTGTATTTATCTATTCTAAAATGTTATTGATGTAATGATTTCAACATTTATTTTGCTTATAAAAGCCTAGTTCAACCTTATATAATTATGTGTTCAAACTAGTTTAAACTAATTATAATAATTTTTAACCAGAATTTTTGTTAAATTGACTTAATATTTAAAATGAATAAAATATTGTTATGTTAATTTCAACATGTCAGCAAATAATTTTTTAACTAAATTAGTTAATAAAATTTGTATTAGTTAAACTAATACAAATTTTATTAAAATTAAATATGTTTTCCGCAATTATTAAATGACATTAAATAAAATAGTAAATACTCAATCAATGTTTAAGTTATAATTACTAAATCTATAACTTGCGAAAGGCCTATCTCAAAGGCCTTTCTAAAACGATGTTGATTGGCCAATGTATCAATTCACACTGTTTGAGTGACTTTAATCTGGGCGCATAATATGACTTTTAAAAGTTATATATTCAGTAGTTATAATAAACCGAATGCATATTATGATACTAAAAATTTAAGTATTATTAAATATAATATTAAATTTAATTAAACAGAGAAGATAATTATTTGTGCGTCTATTACATTTCATTTATTTTATTTATGTATATATTTCTAAAAAATTAGTAAAATGTGTAACAAAATATATTATTCATTCTTTTGCATTACTATTTGTAAAAATAGTTATATTTTTATTACACATAGTCATAATTTTATTACAATATTTTTGATAATTAAATCAAATGACATACAATGCAAACATATAATACTGTTTTATATGAGATGACAATGTTGATAAGGTTTATTACTTTTATCAAGTGACTATTTTACAAGTATTTATACATTAGACAAACGCACAATTTAATTTAGTTATAGCATTAGTTTAATAAGTATTGTGCATTTAAAATTTTAGTTAATATACATTCTTAGTTTGTTTAAGCTACTTTCTGTATTACACATTACCATATATAAATCTATTTATATCTACTATTATGGAGATCAAATGCTATCTATCTATATTAGTTGTAGGCGTGTTGATCATACAAGTAAATGCTTTAAATGCCAATAAAACTTTAGGCATACTTACTAATTTTGCAGCAACCGAACATGGTAAAATCGGTGCAAACCTGTTGGCTGATCCACCTAGTTACGAAAACTGCATGTATAAAATTGGTGTTGCCAATGTGTGTCCACAATCCTATGAAAAACAAAAAGACACCGAGTACTATTGTTGCAATATGTGGAAAACATATCATTGTGCCAAGAAATTTTACAAGGTAATTTGTATTATACAATTTAAATATAACTTATGTATTTATAAAAAAAATGTAGCGATTTAAATAGTTATCCAAAAATTAATTTATATATAAAACATTTAAAATTAATTATAAAAACTATAGTAACATATTATTGCACATAATAATAGTTGATAAATCTTTATTTATTATAGTCATTATTACGTTATTGAATTGCAAAATTATGTCTAAATTGTACTTGGTCTGTTTTTATAAAGGATAAATGTGACTGGGTTGAGCAAATCTATACTGATTTTGAATGGGACATGTTTGGAGTTAGTTACGAAATTGATCAAAGTAATTCATTCAGTATAAAAAGCAAAGATTGCAATAGAATTGGGTTCACCATGGACCATTGCCCGAGTAGCGCACATAAAATACCTGTCACTAGCTTCGTAATGACCTTGTGCATTTTGTTTGCATTTTATTTTTATAAATAATTGTTTTTTAATTTGTTCCGTAATGATAAATTTAAATTCATAACTAATATAACATTTAATTTACTAATAAATTACTTATGTTTGTAATAATTAATAACTGTCAATAAATAAACAAGTCAATTAAAAATTAATTAATTTTTTGACAATTTACTTTACTGGACTATATAAGGTCATCAATATAATTATATTTTTGTACTAAATTGTCCATGATGTTGTTTTTATAACTATAATCTATTATAAAGTTGGATACTAGTTTTAATAAATTTTCTTCAATATGTTTTTAATTTTAATATCATAATTACCATTCTAAAACATTAATTTTATTATTAATATTTTTTGTATATCAATATTAAATGCAACGTTTATCTTATATTCATACTCACATGCCATCTATATTTACGCATTTTAAGTAATTGTTTGTAAAATTTTACACATTATAATAAAACTAGATAGGATTTTCACTATTCTATAATTTTAAAGTTACTAGGGTCTCTAAGTTTTCTTAATCTCGATATAAATATAAAATAAATATCAAACAGTAATAAATATTTAATTGATTAATTTAATTACCTAAACAATATAAGTTAGTTTTAACTTGGATTAGGTCACCATAGGAATTTATTAAAATTTTTATATACAAATAAATTAAATTATATAAGTTTATAATTTATTTAATTATTATAATGCTAAAAAGTTTTATTTTAAGTTATTAATTATTTTAAGTTTTATTTAAAAATATAATTACGTTAAATAAAGTTTAGTTTTTTATTAATATTATATTAGTTTTAAAAATACTTTGATATAACAATTTTAAAATTTTGTATAATTAATTATTTAACTAATTATAATAATTTAAATAACATTTCTCAAAATAAAAAATAAATTATAAAAATTTTACATGTAAGTTAATTGTAATATTTACTCAGATGTAATATATACTCAGATGTATTAATTATATTCATCTTGTTTATTTATCACGCAAATTGTAAATTACAATGCAACTGATTTCAGCTAAATAAATAATTCACTTATGTAAAATAGTTATACATGAAGATAAAAAATATCTTATATTTTTAAAATTAAAAATGAATAGTACATGTAAGTTTTAATTTTATTTATAATACTTAATTTAAATACTTAATTGTATTTATACATTGATAAAAATTAATAATATTTTCAGATATACTACTATGGGGTGCGGCTATACTAACCGTATGTCTGGGCGGCAAATGCCCGGCCGAACAGTACGCCCGACTACTCGAGCCATGCGTTTGCCTCAACAACACAGACATACGGTGCGAAAGTACCAACTCTTTCGACATTCACCGTATATTTCAATACATATCGCAAACCATACACTGGACTGACCGTCATTTCGGTACCGTTCGGGTAAACGCGTCCCGTTTGCGGGAATTACCGGCCATGGCTTTCGGGGCAATACGTTTCGACAACCTATACATTGAAAACGCGGCACAACTCACGGCAATACACACCCAGGTGTTTGGCGCCGCGCGGCTCAGCATTAAACGCCTGGTCATTACGGGCGCCGGTAGGCTAACCAACTCACCGCCCGACGCGAACCTGTTTGACGCCCTGTCATCCGTTGTTAACCTGCAGTCACTGGAGCTGTCGGGCGCCGACAGCCTACAGGATGTGCCCGACAGGGCCTTTAAGCCACTACTGGGCGGTCAGTGGGCGCTGAAAAACCTGACCATTTCAGGTGGGGCCGTACGTAAAGTACGTAACTACGCGTTCTACGACATGCCGTACCACATACAGCGTATAGCGATAATAGGCGGTGGGTTGGAGTCGTTGGCGAGTCACGCGTTTGACGCCAGGGGTCAGTCCTCTGAGCGCCTGACAATTGATTTGTCGGGCAATCGGTTGACAGCAAACAGTTTCGATGGCGACGTGTTTATGAACGCAAAGCGTACGTTATTTGTGAATGTCTCCCGTAATAGGTTGACCCATTTGGACGAGTTCATTTTTGACCCGTTTCTGGCCCTGGATATTATGAATAGGGTTGATATTAGTGGTAATCCCCTGCACTGCGATTGCCGTATGAAATGGTTAGCCAATCGTAGGGTTATGTATGAGCGCCAGGTGTTGGGCGGTGTGTGCGCTGCCGATGGCCGACCCTTTTGGGACCACTCGGCCGATGAACTGACCGAATGCAAGCCCAATGAATTGATTGAGGCTTAATTTTTTGACCATTTTGCTCTTGAGAATTTTGAATTAAAATGATTAGACATGATTATTTTAGAAACTTTTTATTGTTTATTTATTGTAACGTTTGTTTCAATATAGCGTTTTAAATGTTCCAAAGTCAATTTTGTATGGATTATTTATTTGTCAATTAAAAGTTTATAGTCTACCAATATTATTTACTTTAACATTAGATTAATTATATTAATTGCTAATTATTTAAAATTAAACAATCATTAATTATTTTTTAAAAAGTAAAATTTTCAATAATAACATTTACAAAGATTAAATATTATTAATAAAATTATCAAAATAAAAAATCTGCGTTAAATAATTTGCTCTGATTTAAATATAAAACAATTATGCAATTGATTAAAAATTTCAATTATTCTATTGAATAAAATAAGTTTAATTTTGTTTAAAATAATCAAACAGGAATTTATATTGACGATTACCAGGTTGGTTAAATACAAGGGTCAATTCATTAACCACATGATTCAAATTAATGTCCAATTCAAACCTATTCAAATTTTGTAGCAATTCCATCGCGGTGGGACGAGAATCCATTGTATAATTTAACATTGATTGGATTGTGTGTTTTAATTCATTTACTTGATCATGGCCAAATAGACTGTAATCCAAATTGTTAACTCTGAAAAACAAATAAAACTCAACTTATATAATAATAAATTAAAATTACAAACATTAATATTTAAAATAATAACCTAAATTAGAATAATTTTACTTACGTGTCAATGTTAAAAACCTCTGTTAAAATTTGTCCCAGGCTAAATATATCAGACGCCATAGTATATGTACCAAGCTCAACCTCAGGAGCTTTGAAATAATTAAATTTTCTGACAATAGATGTCTGACCAAAATTGTTCATCATACATAATTTACCATCAGTTAAATCTCTGTCGCATAATAAAGTTAATTTGTCAAAATTATTGTGAAGAACTGGCGGACTTGTCAAATGGTGAAGTTTGTTAAGGTGGGTTAATAATTCGCGATATATTTTCAACGATATAATATAATCAAATAATTTAACATTGTCCTCTTCTGGGTAAGCGAGCAATATTTGATTTTTTAAATTATTAACATGTTCCAAAGTTAACTGGTTGTTATCCAAATCAACACAGTTGTTAGCACGTTCTAAGTTTTGAAAATAAAAAACAGTTAAAATTAAATCATTATTATAATAGAAATATAAAATATTATATTTAAGTTATTTAAAATAATAATAAAATGCCGTTAAACGTATATTTATTGTTATAAGTATATTAACTTATATCATAGTTATTATGTTCAAATATCGATAGTATGTCTAAAGATAAATTACCTTCGTAGCTCATTGTGATATCTTTTCAGTTTCCCTATTCATAGTCAAGGTTATTATGTGCAACAAAAGTCCAAAGAATATATCTGAGTCAAAAAAAATTATTATCATTTCCACATTCACTTTCGTAATACATTGTAAATTACAGTGTAGTTCATGAGTTCAAACAATATCTTATGGATAACAGGTTTAGTGCCCCTGAATATGATTGTTGTTGCACTGTATTTTGTGTATAGTTTCGCATATAATATAGCGCATGCTTTAAAAATATTTTTTTTCAATTTATAAAAAATTGTTTGTGCTTACTAATTTATAATATCACAATTTATGAATTGGTTTTTCATGCCTATTTTTAGACGGTTGTTGGTCTAGTTAAATGTCGATTAATATCAGTGGTGTCTATGGATTGCAACACGCTATACCATAGACTTATTCACCTTAAATACGGTTTTTATGTATCATGCAACACTTTAACATTGTTTTAAAAATTCAAAATTATAAGCTCTAAGCGAACGCCTCACAAGCATTCGGGCTAACTTGGGCATTCGTGGACATAGTTACGATAAATCTATCTTGTGAGTCCTACTTAATAAATCATCATTTTAATATAACATACTATATAAAGAAAAATATTTTAATATAAATACAATTTTTGATGCTTTGTAAAGAAAATTTGAAAAAATTAACGGTCACCGCTTAGATCACATTTATAACCGTTTAACATATCGATAAGATTTTATCATCAGATAAAAAGTTTGTTTTATAATAATGAAGTCAACACGAGCTCATTTCATGAAGACATTAAGCAATATTTTTTTATGACTAAATTTTATTATTGAATAGTTTATTCATGCATTAGTTATAACAATAAGATATTACTTATATATGTCCGGCACCGCCTACTTTTGGCCTCACAGACCTGTGTGACATACAGGTGGCCGTATATGTCTGGCACCGCCTACTTTCGGCCTCACAGACCTGTATGACATACAGGTGGCCGTATATCTCCGGTTCCGCCTACTTTCGGCCTCACAAACCTGTATGACATACGGTCAGGTCTACAACATTAAATTAATTGACAGCAATTTTTCAAACATCAAAACTATTTAAAGTTTATATATTTTTTTAATTTCAAATTATAAAAATGTTATATTATTTGTCTACAATGAGTTTCAATTAATAAGGATATTACTTACCTTATAGTATACGAATTATTAATACACAAAAAATTAAGCACAATTTTTATTTTAATATATAAGGTAACAAAATTATTAATAAACTTAATATAATAATAAACTAAGTTTTAAAATTAAAGTTTTAAAATAATAGAAATCTTGTTTATATAACTTTGGTTGTCTTCTTATTTAAGTTAGTTTTGAGTTTTTTCAAACTTATATAATTTAATGCTAGCCTTACATATGCCCTTTATATTGATCATTTATATAGTACACATAATGAAAAAGGACATATACTGAAACTCGTAACAGATGTGGCGTTGATTGAAAGCGAGGTGGGGCTTCAACAATGTAAAGTTGTTACATTTAGTTTCGCTATTAGTAATTAATAGCATCAGATAATAAGTATAACATTCATTTTAAACGGAATGTACATGCAGTCATGTTTTTAACAAATAAGGTGCCAAGGGTATCGGTTAGATAATTACATTTATTCCCGGTGTGGTAGTAGTTTAGAGCTATAGAAATAAAGTG